TGTGTTACTTAAAATTAATGTAACTAATAGAATATGTTGGTTCTATGGCTTTATTTAAAATATTTTCAGATTTTTTTTTTTTACTTTTTTTTCTTTATTTTGCAAAAACAAGATCCCTACCAAGTATGTTTAGTCTTGTTTCTTGCGCAAAATACCTTATTTTACTTGAAACGTTCAAGTAACTTTTCAGTAATTTGTAGGAGCTTGTTTCAAGTCAATAATTCCTTAATATTAATGAAAAAGTTGTAGTTCCATCCATCCATTTTCTAACACCCTTGTCCCTAGTTGGGTCGGGACGTGCTGGTGTCGATCCACTAATGTTTGGGCGAGAGGCGGGGTCACCCTGCACAGGTCACCAGCCTGTCGCAGTACTAGTTCCATTATTATTTAATTTCTTATTGAAATAATACTGGGTGATTATTATAATAAGATTATTTCATTTATAACAAGACATTTTCCAGTGAAATAATCTGCCAACGGAACTAATACGTTTTCATCAATATTAAGGAATTATTGACTAAAAACATTTTGTAAATGACTGAAAAGTTAGTTGAAAGTCTTTGCCAACTAGTTAGACCAGAGTCTACATTTCTTACATGATTTATGTATGTTCTGATATCCAGACTGTAAATGTTTTCTATTTATTGTTAGTTTAAATCAGATGCGTTTTACTGAATGCATCATGGATTGATTTATTCATGGATCCTTTTCTGCTTTTTTTTCCTCCTCCCCCCAGGAAGATACCTCAAGCCACAGACCTTCTGTCCCCAACCTCCTCAGCCAAGTCCATCACTTCTTCCTCTCCTGTCTCCATAGCAACCTCCTCGTTTCATTCTAAAGTCCGCGCAGGCAGTCACATCAGCTCGTCTCTCAGAATGGCGTCGTCCTCCCCCAGCCGGGGGCCGGGCAGACCTCTGACCGTGCCGCAGTCGGAGAACTCCGGCGGTGGTTTTGGCGGTTCTGGTTCTGGTTCTCACCCCCTGTCTTTGGGGAAGCCTGGCCTGGGGCGTCAGGTGGCGGCGGGCAGGTCCAGGAACCCAGTGGGGCGACCGAGCAAGCAGATGCTGAAGCTGCGAGAGGAGGCGGCCACCGCCGCCACATTCCGTAAACGCAAGGCCCCATCGCAGGAAGGAGACCACTCTGGCCCCGAGAGGAACTGCATCATCCTGCAGGACAGGGGACCCCCACCTTCCTCCTCCTCTTCATCCTCCTCCAAGGCCCCCTCTTCCTCCCTCCACCCTCATGGACAGACCAATGGCACTCTCTCCCCCAGCAGTAAGCCCCGCCCCCAGCCGCCCCACTCAGAGTCCCACTCCCCTGCCGCCAAGGCGGTGTGGACTTACAAGCGGACTCTCCCCCCTCTGAGCCATTCCTCCCCCCCAGACCTCTCCCCTGCCACTAACTCCCACAGTCGGACCGGTGTGGGGGACTCGGGGCTGCTGGGCCAGGGCGGCGGGGGGAGGACCTTTCTGGAACATCAGGGACTGAAGAAACGGAAGGGGGGAGGCATGGAGGAACATCCCCCCTCATCCAAACTCTCAGTGCCGCGCCTGCCTTCGTCCTCCTCCAGCTCTGGTTCCTCATCCTCGCCACGCTCCACTTTCTACCCCTGGAAGGACAGCAAGAGTGGCGGTCTGGACGGAGACATGGACAAGAAGCTGGCCTCACAGAAGGTGGGTTTACCTAAAAGTAACACTGGGCGTATTCACCGTTGTGTCTGAGTAATATGGATGATCCTTCAAAGTAAAAGGCTTTACATCCTGAAACTAAAAGACAATTTGATATATAACACTGAAACATAGTAAATATTTTTCTCCCCCAAGAGAAATTCTAAAATGTTTATTTTGTCAGAAGAGACAAACTGACAAAATAAACAGAAATATATTTTTTTATTAAGGATTTTTTTTTTTGCTGCAGTGGCCTTTATTTATAGGGAATGCACAGAAAAGTGGGTTATGAGAGAGGTTAAAGGTCAACAGGCCTGTGACAGCTGCGTGGAGGACTGAGGCTTCCGTACACCTGTCCAGCTCTCGATCCCTGCACCACTCTGAGCAGGAAGCTATGTGCTGTACAGAGGAAATAAGGTCTTGATTTACCAAGCGTGTGAGGAATATTGGACTTTTTTTTTTAACAGCTCAGCTGCAGCAATATTTCACACCTCTGTCCAGTGATTAGATGTCAGGTGACTCCCAGCAGCTGGTTTTGACCGTCATGCCTGCAGTGAACATGTTCCAGTTCACACATGGTGCAGGATGCTGCAAAGGCCTGTTGCTCTACATGGAATGAGTCAGAACGTCCACAGGGGGGCGCTGTTTTAGTCACGACACCCAACTCTGGTTTAATCCAAAGGCCTTCTGCTGATTTTTAATTTAAAGGACCCAGTGATAAAGGCAGCATTGTGTGAAGCATCAGCAGAAAATGCAAATAAAGTCCAGCTCAGACATTTCACCATCATGTGGTGTTTTCCTCACGCGGAAAGATGAGAACGGTTCGCCGAGGCAAAAACAACCTCATGCTTCGTTTCATGGTTCTAATTCAGCTGCACTTCCCTTCCTGTTAAAACCGTCGGGGACACAAAGCAGCTTTCTTTACAAATCCAAATCCCCGTGTTTCACACCCAACACAAACAGATGGATACGTTGGTGAGGAGAAACGAATTGATGTTTGGAATCTTGTAGTAAGATTGAAAAATGGCACCAGAAAACCCACAAAACAGAGTTTAAATAAAAGTGTTTGTTCTTCACATTTAATGGCACATTTATTAATTGTACAAAAGCTTAAAGCCCAAACCATGACATGAGCGCATCTGTACAGAAACAACACGACGTAACGGTCCCACAGAGAGAATGGAACGGACCTCGGGGTGGGTTATAGGTCTTTTTCAATGAAGCCATGTCTCAGGCAAACTCTTAGGATGTTGTACGGAAAGAAAAGTGAAATTTAAATCCAGTTTCTACTGGATACGGAGCAGCAACGAGGCACCGTCTAATCCATTGGTGAGACCCTCTGAGAGCCCAGCAGGGGGCGCTACCAGTGTCTTAAAAAGCTGAAGGGAAGATGAGGGGAAAAACAATGTAAAAGTTTCAGAAGTTTCATATTGAAAGAAACTGATTAAAAAAAAAATGCTTTTGCCTGATTTTTTTTTCTTTTCTAAAATCAGACTCAGCCAAAATTAAAAGTCATGATTTCTACTGATTCTGACCAGTACAGAATCTCTAGTCAAAGTGGGAATTCTAAAAGTTGGTTCTTCACACATTTACTAGCATCGTCTGTCCCTTCCCACAATCTGGAAAAGCTTTCTGCTCCAACCTGTCAGGTGTTTGAATTCTCTCTTATCTCTGATCTGTTTTCTTCTGTCTTACAGCCAAAACTGCACCATTAAGTGTGCTTGCCTTACAAGCCACTAGGAGGGAGCCAGCTCCACTCAGTCTGTGACTGGGCCAACAGGACTCTGTGTGAGTGTGTGTGTGTGTGTGTGTGTGTGTGAGTGTGTGTGTGTGTGTGTATGTATGCGTGTGCCTTTGTCTGCCGAGCGTCCGCTCCGGTATGAACGGACCGGGTTGTGTTTGTGCCGTATTGACCCGTCGGTGTGCTGAACGGATGAACATGGGATGAACCATAAAGTATGGATTTAGAAATACCTCAAGACCATCTGGTTATGCTGCTAAATTGAATATGTTGGTTTATTAAAAACATTTATTAAAAAATGTCATTTTCACTTGGTTTCTGTCCCTGTGGCTGTTATTTTACCTTTCGTGCATTTGATCAGAGGGTACTGGTGCTGCTGGTTAGGAACGAGAACGTATTGGAGTTTAACTTTGAAATTATGTAAAGCATATCAAACATATAACACAACCTGAATGGAAGTAGTAAAATATATATATATATATATAATGGCACATTTTAATGGAAAAAGAATGAAAATGCTGAAAAAACTTGATCAGAAGTATTTCACTGCTCAGCAAGAAGAAACACATTAATAGAAATCAAACTGCAGTTCCTTATTTTATTACTTTGGGTGTTGTTGTTTTTTTATCAAAGGAAGAAAACATCTCATTCATATTTAGCTATTTAACTTTTAGTTGATTAGAAACTGGAGGGAGGGGCCAAGCAGGTGGACCCAGATCTATGTGCAGGAGCTGAGAACAGATAGAAAAACAGAAAGTTGTCTTTATTTCTCAACGTCGAGCCTCTGAAACCCACCAAATCAAATCTGAATATTGTTCTATATAAACCTTGGTGCTTTAAGTTGTGATACTGAGCAGATATTCATTTCCATCTACTTTTTGGTTCTCAGCCAATAGGCTTAAAAATAAAGCATCTTGACTTATAATTTAATAGCCCATAACTTGGAGCTGTTTCAATAAATCGATGTTAATGAGAAATTTTATTAAGAGCAGTCACTCATTAAAGCTTTTTTATTTAGGACTTTAAATGTTTGTAAAGGTGTAGCAGAAGAAAACTATTGAAGCTTCATCTGAATTTTAGTTTTCCTTCTGCAGGCTGCTTACTGAGACTGAACCATGCTTGATGTGCGTTTAAAAACTTTTTAAACCACATTTTACGTCACATTTCACTGTGACTTTGCTGAGCCCCAAAATTGGTCTTAAGAAATGTTACTGTTTATAATGAGCTGGGATTGTGTTGGTCCCTATTTGGCATATTGTGCAGAACTTCCTGGTGTGGTGGGATGTAGATGGGTATAGAGAACCCTTCCTTCCTTCCTTCCTTCCTTCCTTCCTTCCATCCTTCCTCACTTGATTCCTTCCTTCCTACCTTTCAATGGTAGCAGAATAGAAACTCAAGCAGGATAAATGTTATTTAATCCCATCAACTCCCCTCATTTAAATTTAAGATCAGTTTTATTATCGTGTGTTATTAATATGCTTTCCGTCAGTTGCAGACCTGGCGCTGCTGATATCAAACGTATCTGTTCTGAACAGACTTATTTTGGCGAAACTACTTCCTGGAATTCACCGGAAGTGGCGTCGCGTGTTTATAAGTGACGCTACAGTGGCTCCAAACAGCCGCTGGTCTCCTCTTCCTTTTGGCCGCGGCTCGGTTTTCCAGTTCTCCCAGTTGACAATGCAGCTTATGGGGCGTCACTTCGCATCCCAGCCTTCCAGCACGCCACTTCCATCCAGCGGGGTTGACGCAGCAGCGGCGGCGGCACGATGCCGTCTGACGTGGAGTACAGTCCGGTGGGAGAGGGGCTGGGGATGCGGGACTTCTGGATCTACGTGTGGCTGCGCAGAGCGGCTTTGATCGTAGCTCATGTCTCCGGTCTGGCCCTCACCGTCGTCCTCTCCGTGCTGTCCAGACCCGGAACCAGTGAGTGTATTTAAGTTAAACTCTGTCAGCACAAGACTTGATTATTTGCTTCCTGGAAGGAGTCACAACATGTGACTGCTCTTCTCTGCTTCCCTCCTGGCTTCCATCCGGAGCGACGCTTTTCAATACAAAGCATGTCGAATTCTGATGCCATCTGAATTTGCTCCTCAAGTCAAAACTCGTTGGACGAGACATTTTTCACACATTTTTTAACCAACAAGTGCAGTTTTCTGTTTACGGCTGACAAATGAACATTTATTAGCTCATTTAACAAGAAGTGACCTGTAGGGTGATGATGTTTAAGCAAACAGGTGGGAAGAAGGACAGCCTCTCAGAAAATTCACCATGCAACCAAAGAGCAAGTTCATTTGTTGGTTATCTTGGATGAGAATGTGTAAATAATGTTGGGATTTCCTGCAGCCTTAGATCTGCTTTTAGACTCTGATGTCTGATGTCAGCTGCAACAGAATAAATGTTGCCATATTCTTAAGTTGTTGTTTTTTTTTCTCTTCTCCTTTTCTGTAAATCAACGTCAACATTGAGTCTGAGGATGGGAAGCACTCACTGATGTCTCTCTGTCTTGCAGGTCTGTTTTCTTGGCATCCGCTGTGCATGTCTGTTGCTGTAAGTCTCACACACAAACTGATGCATCATTTTGTCCCAAACTGACAAACAGATCCATCACAACCCACCAGGGGCAGTTGATTACATCGACTTGTAACAACATGACAGCAATCTCTCCTCCTGATTAAGCATTACTAAATATTAACAAATATAATCAGAAAACACCCACTCTGTGATGTTTCAGCCATACTGTCTGAGTTAGTCTGACCTTTAATTCAATATTTCAGTTATTTTTCCTGAATTCTGTACACAATGGGCTGTTGGGACTCTAACTTCATTTTTAAGCTTCATTCATTCATTCTTATATACCTTACTAATAACGATCGCTCCACTTTAACAAAGTTGAACACAATTTCCAAATTGCGTTAGGAAAGTAGCTTTATTTGTTGATTCGGTTTACCGATGAGCCCAGCGCGTTTAAACATTAGCGGCAGGGTTTCTGTTGACTCAGCAGCTTCTACTGCCTTTCGTATCGCCGTCATCTTTCCACTGTAAATAATTGATGCTGACGGAGGCGGCTGACATGAACCGCTGCTTCAGCTTCTGTTTCACCGACGTCTCTACAGTCTGGCAGCGCGGACGTGAAGCGTTCAGAAACTGTCGCCGTTGGCAGATCTGTGATAAGGACCTCATTGGATCAACAAGTCGACATTTAGGTGAAGGAGTATTGAGAACTACTGTAGATTTAGATGACTTTACCCTGAGTGCAGAAACGCATCAGACACGAGAACATTTGTGGTCTGAATATGATGAAAATGAGTTTGACGTCCCTGCAGCAGCATCCCTGACCCTGTTCTTCTTTCTGCAGTACTGCTTGTGCATGACTGAAGGCATCCTCCTCTTCTCCGCTGAGGGTACCATCTTCTGCCTGAAGTCGAGGAAGAACAAAGTGCGTGTCCACTGGCTGTGCCAGGCCCTGGCGCTGGTGGCAGCGGCGGTGGGGCTGGGCTTCATCCTGGCTAGTAAGGTCGTGTCTGAGCTGCCCCACCTGGTGTCCTGGCACAGCGTGATGGGCTGCTGCACCCTGGCCGCCTCCCTGCTCCAGGCCGGCTGCGGCGCCTGCCTCGTCTTCCACAAGCAGCTGCGGCTGTCCACGTCTCCGGCCAGACTCAAACTCTACCACGCCACCTGCGGCCTGGTGGTGTACCTGCTGGCCACCGGCACCATCATGCTAGCCATGCTGTCAGACTGGTTCCAGGCCACGGTGAAGGGGGCAACTTGGTGGCTGATGGCCATGCTTCCCCTCTTCCCTGCCCTTGTGGCCATGAACCAGATCACCAACGCCTACCTGCCCCGCAAGAAGATAAGCAGCTAGGGTGCAGAAGGATCACGGTGCAGAGTCGGAACAGGAAACAGGAGACTGTTTTCACGCTTCAGGGATTCATTGAGTTCTAAGCAAATTTATGTCCAAACATGTTCCTACCTGAAGTTCACAGCCAGGATCTAGTGGTGAGTGGAGGAAATGCAGCATGAAGCTCTGAAGCACTGAATCATATCTGACTCTGTGAATGAAGGCAGAGCCTCTGAATGTTTTTTTTTTTAATCGCTCAAGCAGTGAAAGGGATGAAGGCCGACCAGAAACCTCACAGCAGCTTTTAGATTCCTGATCACTTTAAAGCTGCAGTCTGTCACTTATATAAATAGAAAGTATTTTTTACCCATTTGTTGAAACTGTCATGTTAGACAGTCACGACATGTCGTGTATGAGACATAATCTGTCAAAAAAAATGTTTAAAAAAATCTACCTCCTCTGCTTTCTCCCAATGCCAACTAGAAATAACCAATCACAGCCAGGAGGAAGGTCTTAGCAGTCTCATTCACCTAGCTCTGCAGCTAGCATAGCCTGTTGTGAATGCTAAGGCTAGTTAGGATGGCCACCAATGACGAAGGATAAACGGCTTTCATGTACTGGGAAGTTGTACATGAAATGTGCATTGGCACATTTAGCAGAATTCTAAGTTGATTGACAGCGCTAAGTCACGCCTCCTGGCTCTGATTGGTTGTTTTTAGTCAGAGTGCATTTCTTCACAGAAATAGCAGCTCAGGGAGGAAGAGGCTGAGATAGATCTTTTCACATATTATGTGTCTCATAAACTATGCTGTGGTGGCAGTTTTAATAAATGTGGGGGGGAGGGGAAATTCGACAGTTCCCTTTAATTATTGTTGAAGAGGTCGGTAAAATAAATAGATCTGGATTGATTAGATCAGGGGTGTCCACATTGAGAGAAGTTCAACTTGACAATTTTGGCCACTTGACAAAAAGTTTGGACATCCTGAGATTAGATGTTTGTTCAGATAGGAATTGGATGTTGTTCAGCCTTGAGCTTTTGTTTGTGTGTAAATTGGCTTTATCTGAACAAACAGAATGCAGACTAACCTTGAATGGCTCAGGTGAACCTAATGTACACAGATGGACCAGATTTACTACCTGTTTGCTGTCTCGAAATATGAAAAATATTGCTTTGTGATTTAAAAAACAAGTTACTGTCTCTCCTCAGTCGTTGGAGAAAGATTTCATTTGTGTTTTTGTGTTTTCTTTACCTCAGGTTTTCTTTGCCTCTCCACTGTAATAACTTTTTTTGTGCCTTTTCTGTGAGTAAAAAGTAAATGAAGTGACTGGACTGCACTGGTAGATTTTCAGGACATTCTATATGTTTATTATTATTATTATTATGTGTCTGATGGGTTATCAATGTTCAAAGCAATAAAAGTAGAAAATGGGAAGGTGTTGTGGCGCTCACTGGCATTGTGAGCTGATCTGTTTTGTATTTTTATGATCTGATCAGGAAGTCGCTGCAAGTGTTCCTTTTGTAACAATAAACAGTCGTTCAGATGGTTGTTCGTGTCTCTTTAACGTTTCCAGGCAACAGAAAAGGACTTACAGTAAAAATAGAACAACAGAAAAACATGATCTGATCACCTCCACGATTTAAAAAAAACACCAAAAAAAGTATTTTATTTTAACAGATTGGCAAAATCCTTACAGTGGGATTGACTTAGATCAAGTATAAGCGTAGACAGGCCACAGATACAACACTAAACTGTTTGTAGGACCTTCAATCAAAACAGTGACTAATATTTGGTTGGGCAGCCTTTTAGATTGTTTTACAGCCCATATTTGCTGTGGCATTGTTTCGGGAAACTTCTGCGATGCTGCAGGATTTATTTAAAAATCCAGAAGCGGTTGAAAGGAAAAGAAAGAAACAGAAAGAAATTAAGAAACAGACGATGACCACATCTGTGTGATGGTGGACTGAAGTGGCAGGTTGGATGAAGTTCCTGATGGAGAAGTTGGACTTAAAATGTCCAAATCCACATGAAGTCTGTCTGCTGGATTACTTGAAAAAGTTGGAACTGCTGTCCAGTTGAACCTCACCAAGATCTTGCATTGAGGATGATGATGATGATGATGATGATGGAGTCTGACCGATGCTGCCTCCTACTCCATGAATCTATCACGATCTCATCCCGATGAAGCCTGCTGGCGCCGCCATCTTGGAACGTCAGGCGTCATCAGAAAAGAAACAAACCAACGACGATCTAACCCAGTCATTCAGAACATCCAACTCAGACCTATTTGATCAATTAAATTCAGGTGGTGACGTTTTGTTTCAGGTCAGGCAGTGTGTGTGTGTGTGTGTGTGTGTGTGTGTGTGTGTGTGTGTGTGTGTGTGTGTGTGTGTGTGTGTGTGCATTCAAGATTCAACAGCGCATGGTTCTGCTAAATGCTCCTTTAATGTGGTGAAATCTTCCGGTGCCATTTACAAAGAAATATCCCCAGATCGTAATGGTTAAAAACTATTGTTTATTTTTTTTGTTGGAGGATTCGACCTCTTCCTCTTAAAGAAATGTTTAGATTTTTAGCAAGGAGGTAAACCTAAACTGAGCAAAGGATCGAATCATGGGTTCTCCCACTGAATAAACACACACTCCATTCTGGAAATATCCTGATTTCGAACTACAGGAATTCAGGATATTCCTGTAGTTCGAATATCTACAGGAATATCTTGAATATCCTCAGTTGTGAGTCCTCTCTAAAGTAAAAAGTTGCTTCTGAACGTCAGAACTGGCCCTGGAGTTCTCCAGTAGTCAGACACCGAGTTACATGAAACATCCACAGCAGCTCCAGTCCAACCCAGACCTCCAGCTGGACCCTGGGGTCCTCTGCTAGGTGTTTTGAGGCGACTTCTTGTCCTGGCATATGAACGCCATGGAGCTGCTCAGCAGCTCGTTGATGTTCACCTCCACCACCTCACCTGCCGACCCGCCCTCTACTGCACCGCTAACCGCTACAAGCACATGCTGGCCACTTCCCAGGGTGCTTTGCTCCTCAGACAGTATGTTGGACTCCTCCCCATCCTGCTTGTCTCCTGATGAAATCACCTGAAGGACAGACAGGCTGGGTTGGTACATCACCTGCAGACCGTTCTCCAAATCGCTAACAACATCACTGCTCCAGCTAACATGGAGGATTCCATTAGGAGGTGGTGTTACCGTGTAGGTGGTGGAGCCGTGGCCCTCCGCCCCTGCCTCCGGCTCCATGTGACAGGACAGCAGGTGCTCCTGCAGCTCCATCTGGGAGACGCAGATCAGCGTGCAGAGGGGGCAGTTGCTGGGCGGCTGGCTGCAGACGTGCTGCTCCGCCTGGTCCCCGCTGCCCAGATCGGCCTTACAGAATAGGCAGGAGACGGGCGGCGGCTCCGAGCCTGGGAAAAAGACAGTGCATCTGTGAGGGACAGCGTGGGAGCTCTACCGGATCACGCTTGGGTCACATTCTGCAGCAAAGACAATGTAGGGGCTGACAGAAACGAGCCCTGAGGGATCCCTCACATCCTGACTGTGGAATAACTGGCATCACGTATCTCTCATGATGATGCCAGTCAGTCCATCATGACAGGAGACATCATGTCTGATGGTGATCATGTCTCTGGCGGCCGGTCCTCACCCTGGTGCTCCGTGGCCTGGTGTGCGGACAATGTGGCAGTGTCGGGGAAGAACTTGAAGCACAGCTCACACTGGACCAGGGTCTTGAGCTGCCGGGTGTGGCTGGCAAAGACATCAGGATGGTTGGTTCTGTTGTGGTACCACAGCCCAGACAGTTGCTGGAATACATGAGAGCGAGACAGAGAGAGATAAAAAGAAGCCATGAGCATCACTTGATGGAGACATGTCTTTATTATGGTTCACATCAAGGAAACCAAGCAGGATCATTTGAGATGAAATATGTACTTTCTCTATATTTAAGACAATCCTTGGTGTTTGTCTTTTCAATTCAAAAAAACTTTATTTATTCAAAAAAAAAAGTATTTTCACTGTTAATTGTATAGCAGTTAATAAAATTAACTGTTAATTTTAACTCCTAATATCCAAGGATCTTCAAAGAGTTATTGTGACTGCTGATGGCAGTGGACAGGAAGGATCTGCTGCAGCAGTCTGTGTTCCAACAATAGTGAAGAAACCTCTAACTGAAGACACTTTTCTTTATGACAATCTTATGAAGAGGATGCTCAGAGTGTCTGTAAATTTCTTGATTTTGTGTCAAACTCTTCTTTTTATGTTCCTGGCTCTGATGCTGCAGCAACAGCAGATGATGCTCTTCGATCTGCAGACCCAACTACAAGAAGTACAGCCTTCTATTGTTTTCTTTAATTTTCCAATAAAATTAAAGACAGTCTCCCCAGAGAACCCTGTTTTCCCAGAGTTCACTTTTAGTATTTTCAGTGACCGTTCTTGTTTGTTTGATTTAGCCACACCTCTTCTTTATTTCTAACATTTATCATCCCAGGTTTGTTTATGTTTTGGATTTTTACGCATTATTTGACAGAACACCTTGATATGACTTTTTACTGTTTAATTTAGTAAGTTAACGTCAGGGGTTTGTTTGTCCTGGTTTTCATGGTCACATTTGTTTGTAAACCCATCAGCTAGGATTAGGGTTAACAGGTGGACAACGCCTGTCTGCTTCCCGTCCTCTGCCTGGCTTTCTCTCTTTTTTGTCTCTAACCATCTTGTTGCAGCAACAGAAATTCATCATCTTACCTGGTAGGATTTGTTGCAGAGCTGGCAGCTGAACGGCTTGCTGCCAGAGTGTGTCACATTGTGTTTCTCCAGCAGGGCGGCGCTCTGGAACACCTTGTTGCATGTGCTGCACTTATGAAACTCCTTAGGGTGGAAGTCCTGAATGTGCTGCTGATGCTCCTCCAGGGTGGAGAAGCTGAGGCAGCACTTCTTACAGTCATGAGGTTCTGATAGGTCTGAGAATGACAGCAGGAAACAGTCAGAACGAAGCAGGAAACAGTCAGAACGAAGCAGGAAACAGTCAGCACACAACAGGAAACAGTCAGAACGCAGCAGGAAACAGTCGGCACACAACAGGAATGGTCAGAAATAGTCAAACAAAAAAAACTGTATGTTTTTTTGTGTACAAAAAAAACAGTACACATTTTTTTGTGTATAAAATATTGCATAAAAAGGTCTAAGTGGATAAATGAAAAATTAGCAAAATACAGCAATTTGGTAAATGCTAGAATGATCGATTCGTAAAATAATTGTTGTGTCCCTGCAGTGGGCAATAATAGTGTTAACATCAGACTGAGTGGGTCCTTACTGTGGAAGGTCTGCAGGTGGACAGTGAGCCCGCTGGCCTGGCTGTAGCCCTTCCCACATTCTCGACACACATAAGGCCGGTCACCAGTGTGCGTCCGTACATGACGTGTGAGCTCAATGGACTGGGCAAACACAGCCTTACAGTACTGACACACATACATCTTTCCTGGAAAAAAAAAGACAATATTTTAAGATTTAAAACAAAAAAGACATAACCTTAGAGATGCCGAACTGTCCTACCTTCAGAGTGTTTCTTCTTGGTGTGGTAAGCCAGAGCAGCGGCGACGCTGAAGCTCATGTCACAGTGCTGACAGTGATACGGTTTCTCTCCCGTGTGCAGCCTCATGTGGTTCTTCAGAGAAGAGTTGGCTCCAAACACCGCGCCACATTCCTCGCAGGCAAACGGCTTCACTTCCAGGTGCTCTGCCTGTTTGTGGTAAACCAAACCTGAAACATCACAGGTTTGGTTGGAGGCGAATTTGCATGAACAAAGATTTTTATTCTAAACTATATGACCTTGTTGTAAGTAGTGTTCGATGTTGAATTCAGCTAACTGAATTTGACACACTGTAGAATTAACACTGGCATCAAACTTGACACAGAGTAATCCTACCAAACGCCAACAAACTAAGAAACTAAAAATAAAAATGAATAATCTGGATATTCTAGCATGTAGCAAACAGGAATTATGTTAGTAATTCTAACTGACCTAAAGCAGGAAAAGTTCAGTCCGACTCAATGTCACAGAGAGGAAAAGGGTTATCAGTGTAGTCAGTAACTATTTCAAAGGGGCAGTATTATATATTTTCCAGGCACATAGAAATTTCTTTTAGCTCAATCAAATAACTATATTACCTTAAGCTGTTATGAAAATGCAGTATATATCAAACATGACGTCACAATTTTACGCCTTGAAATGGGGTTTCTGTCTCTTTAAAAACGCCTTCTCTTTCTGAAAATGTGCTTTCAGGAAGTCATCACAACATGGCTCCTCTATTAACCATTTAACAACATTTTGACCAGCGTTGCACTAAGAACTAGCTGCTTTAATGAGCTCTGCAGGTGTGCAGTTTCACCAGTGTTTACTAATTGCTGCTGGCTAGTCTGAAGGAGTTGAGTAGGACAGCTACGGGGGAGGGTTGCTTGGTGAGATGGAAGCTTGGAAACTGCAGCTCTGAGGAGGAGCTTCATCCTCGAAGGCGGAGCTAGATCCATCCAGGCTTTTCTACAGCTGAATGGTTGACATGGATATTAAAGGACTTCTCAAACATGCATGTGGGAATAACATTAAAATGTGATGTCCAGCTCAAAAAGTTTCCCTTTTCGTATTACTGCTCCTTTAAAAGTT